CAATTACTAACCCTAGTTTAAGTCGCGTACTAATCTAATATCGGTTGCCACGCAGCTAGCGTGGCAAGGTGGGCGGCAATGTTTAAGTTCGATACATTGCTTACGGCAATGCATATGTTCGATACATTGTTTCCCCTTCTACAGCATTACAATTAACCACTTTAATTGGCCGCTCTTCGGAGCCCAATGGGGAAATCTTCTCTGCATATCTTCCAGGAGCCTCATTCGCCTAGTTCGGATTGTAGGGGAGAGTTCGCTCTCTTCTACTATATCTCCTGGAAGCCACATTCGCTTAGTTCGGATGCAGAGAGGCGCTTTCCAATGCTGTGGTCGTAGTTGTTGATCACGACCTTGCTGTTGCTTTCATGCCCATCGCAACATCACTTGCATTCTAACTCTCGTTGCTAAGACTTGCAAACTTGCTCTCGTTGATTAAACTTGCTTTCTCGCACGCACACCTAAAGGTAAAGTTTGTTGCTTTTCGAAACAAATCCACTTGCCAAATAAAGTTGAAAATATATTCTAATATAAAATTGGTTTATTTTGTTTTTCTTTTTCTTTTTGGGTTTTTTTCTCTCCTTAACCGGTATCACGCCAACACGGACATTCCATTCGTTTGAAATTGAATTAAAAAAGTTCCAAAATTTTGACAAATTTTAAAAAAATTGAAAAAATCCATTTTTTAAAATATTAAAAAAAATAATTTGACAAATTTAAAAAAATCCAAATTTTCAAATTATATTTTTCAAGAATTTTGTCGAAACTTTAAGATTTTTTTTTTTCAAAATTTTTCATAAATTTGAAAAAAAAAATAATTTTTGAAAAATGTATAAATTGAATTAATAATTTCGAAGATTTTTAACTTTTCAAAATTGTGCAAAATGTATAATTTTCAATATTGAAACACCCAATCACTCAAAAATTAAAAAAAATAAAAATATTTTAAATTGTATTAATCGGGTATGTTCTGGAACTCACGGCGTGTTCTTTTCACTTCACACATACACTTCACCTCAGAAGCTACCTCCTGTTCTGCTTCTCACGTGAATTGAAATTTTGAACTGCGACAAAAATAAACGTCGACATGGTACTTTGCAGAAGTAGTATTGCCATACAATATAAACTGTATTCGTTTTTAACATTGTTTCTGTAATTTTTTAGTAATTCCGTTAATTCTAACTATAATTTTATTATTATTTTTTAATATTTTATTATTCGCAACATAAAATATATGTATGAAAAACTCTGCAATATCATTAATTTGTTGATTGATTTAAGGGGAACATTTGGTAACCCTATCTTCTTCGGCCTTACTTCAAATCAGCTGTTTGTGTCAAGCAAGAAATTCACTTGAAGAAAATTCAAGACAAACCTTAGTATCTATTTAAAATTTGTTTTTAATGGCGTTTCATGTTTATTTTGTGATTTTAAACAATTTATATGCATTAACAACATATCAATCTATCATCATGTTCCTTTATTATTTCAAAAAAGATTTTATTTTATATGGAAAAACATGAATACACCCGACTCTCACTATGAAAATGTAAGTGTAAAGAATACACCTCAAATGGGTGTAAAGTGTGTTACAGAACACCTCGGCGTGTGTTCGATACACTTCTGCCGTTGAAGTGAATGCCAGAACATGCCCGAATAATTTCTAAGATTTTTAACTTTTCAAAATTGTGCAATAAGTATAATTTTTCAATATTAAAAAATCCAATAACTCAAAATTTAAAAAAATAAAAATATTTTGCAAATTTTAAGAATTAAATTTTTCATTAAAGAAAAAAAAAATATATACAGTAAAAACTCGCTAATCCGGATAATTGATTGCAGACCCCAATCCGGATTACCGAGATTTCCGGATTATCGAGTTTTATTAATTGGTTTGAATTTATATTAATTTGGTGATAATTTAATTATTTTTATGTTTTTATTAAAAATGAAAATTATTCATTTCAAAAATATGAACTTTGAATATAATAGGTACCATTTTCAATTAAATTTGCAACGATTTTTTTATTAAAATAAAAAGTAACGTGTCTTTACAATCCGGATTTTTGAGTCAAATAGGTCAATCAATTCGGATTATAGGATACGCAATGGGTTGTGAAATCCAGTCCGGATTACCGAATAATCCGGATTGTCGAGGTCCGGATTATCAAGTTTATACTGTATATATAGAATATTTTTTTTTCATGAATTTAAAAATAAAAATTATTTTTGAAAATTGTAAGAATTGAAATGATAATTTTTAACTTTTCTAAATTGTCCAAAAAGTATAATTTTACAATATGGAAAAAAATCTAATTTTTCAAAAAAATAATTTAACAAATTTGAAAAAAAATATTTTTTTCCAAGTTTTAAAAATATGCTTTTTTTTAAATTTCAAGATTTTTTCGAAAAAAAAATTAAGAAAATTTTTTTTTATAAATTTGAAAAAAATAAATTCTGAAAATTTTATAATTTGAATTTAATTTCTTAAATTTTTAACTTTTGAAAATTGTTGAAAAAGTATAATTTTTCTATATTGAAAAAATCCAATTTTTCAAAATAAAAAAAAATATTTTTCCAAATTTTATGAATAAAAAAATATATATTTTTAAAATTGTAAGACATTTTTTAACATTTCAAAATTTTTCAAAAAATATAATTTTTCCATATAAAAAAAAATTTCAAAAATTTAAAAATTATAATTTTTGAAAAAAAAAATAATTTAATAATAATTTTTTACAATTATTTTTTTTTTAATTTTGAAAATGTTTAATTCTCTGTAATAAAAAATAAAATGTATATATAAAAAAGAAGAATATTTTCAATTCAATACGTCTATATAATAAGAACATTTTTTTTATAAATTTGAAAAAAATAAATTCTGAAAATTGTATAAATTGAATTTAATTTCTAAAATTTTTAACTTTTGAAAATTGTTCAAAAAATATAATTTTTCTATATTGAAAAAATCAAAATTTTCAAAATAAAAAAAATATTTTTCCAAATTTTATGAATAAAAAAATATATATTTTTAAAATTGTAAGAAAATTTTTAACATTTCAAAATTTTTCAAAAATTATAATTTTTCCATATAAAAAAACAATTTTTAAAAATTGTAATTTTTGAAAAAAAAAATAATTTAATAATAATTTTTTACAATTATTTTTTTTTTAATTTTGAAAATGTTTAATTCTCTGTAATAAAAAATAAAATGTATATATAAAAAGAAGAATATTTTCAATTCAATACGTCTATATTTACTTGGTAATTGAAGATAAATTACAATTATTTTGAAAATTTTCAACAAAAAATTCAAATAAAAATATTAACTCATTTTTTAGAAATCACATAACTTTATTGAAAAAAATAAAAATATGTATGAAGAAAATGAAGTTTTGGTTTCTAATTCACATTTGATTTGAAAAAAAAGAATGAAGGGCGGGGAGGGTAATAACTAATTCTAAAAGTAGATTTTTTTACCATTTATAAAATGGTATTAACAAAATAGTGAAAATAATTTTTAAAATTTAAAAAAAATATTTAATTTTTTTATTTTTTTTTTCGTTACCATTTTTTTGCAGAAATAAAAACAAAGAGTTTTTGTTTTTTAAATAAAGATCATATTTTTTGGATATTATTTGATCTTTAAAACAGTCTTTATTTTTTTTTGTATTTTTTTTAATTTTTGTTATTTTTGAAAATAGATTTTTTGTTGTTTGTTAATTTTAAAGTTATATTTTAAATACCCACTACTACTCTTTATTTAAATGTATTTGTATTTTTTGTTCTTATTATTTCATCAACTCCTATCCCCCTCTCTATGCAAAACCAGAAAACCAGGAGAATAACCAAAATACTAATAATAATGAAAGTGGAAATGAAAAACACAATGGGTTTGGTTTTTGGGTTTTTTTTTCAATTTTTTTTTCATTGAAAAAAATTTTAGTTTTTTTTTTTTTTGTTTTAAAAAAATTTTGAATTCCATTTTTAGTTAGTAGGTAGGTTCTGGTAACCAATGTGGTCCAGTTTTTTGTTTTTTTTGTTTCTTTTTGGAAATACCCTTTGTGTTAAAATATTGTTGTAGATATTTTTAACCCAATACTGTTTTCCGTAAAAAAAAGAAATTCAATGTTTTTTTCTTTTCTTTTGTTTGTTTGGTTTTGTTTTTTTCATGTTCAGTAAAAAAACAAAATTTGAAACAAAACAAAAAATTCTTAAAAATAATAATAAAAAAATAAAACAAGAATAGTTGGTTTCATATATATTAGGCAAATATAAGTAAAACTCTTGGAACAAGGAGGATGAGGCGGAGGGGTATAGCTCTGCTTCTTCTTCATCATCTTAGTATTGCTTGGCTTGGTTTTTGAGTGGTTGAGTTGAGGTTATGTTGAAGGGGGAAGAGAGGAGGAGCATGATTTGCTTGGATCGTGGGGATGGAGTTTGTTTTGGATCCAAGGTTTTTGTTTTGAGTTTTGAACGCTGGGTAAAAATCTGTCCATTTGTTGTTGTTGTCTGCTTGTTCTTGTTGTTGTTGGAGTGTGTTTGGGTTTACACTAATTTTAAATGACTTGTTTATTTTGGCTTGAAAATAATATTTAAAAAAACGTTACTTCTTCTTCTTCGCTCTACACTAAAAACTTCATCATCTCTTATTTATGCATCTTCTTCTTTATCATTATCTTCATCTTCTCTTATATTCTTATATATTCTGCTTGTATTTTGTTTTTGTTTTAATGTTACTTCTTCCCTGCGACGGCATGTGTATCTTTCTCTTCTTCTTCATCTTCTTATTCAACTTCATATTTCATCTTGATTTGTTTTGTTTAAAAATTTATTGTTGTTGTTCTTCTTGTTGTTGTGGAGGAGGAGTAGTTTTTCTTAAGTGTGTAGGGGGGTGAGTGGGTTGTTTTGTAGGTGCTTAGGAGGAGGACGAATCATCTTCAAATACAATCCTCTTTCTTTTCTTTGAGTTTTAAAAATTAGTTCTTGTTTATGTGTGGGGGAGGGAGGAAACGAGGCGGGAATTTGAAAATTTAGGACAATGTGGGGAATTGACGTTCATCATTAACTTTGGGAGCGGCATTCTGTTTGTCACCACCACCAAATTGACGTTTACCGCCAGCACCACCACGACCGCCAGCATTACCGCCAGCAGCACGATTGCCACCCTCGAAACGGGGTCGGCCGCCAGCAGGGGCAGCTGAATCACCACCACCGGCATTATTGTTGCGTGGACCACCACGACCACCGCGTCCACGGCCACCGAAACCACCCAAACGGCGGCCATCATTGAAATTGAATTGAATGTCCAAGACGCGTTGTTGCCTGCCAACGCGTTGGGGATACATGGCAGGGTCATATTCCAATTCTTCTTCGCTTTCATTGCCACCCTTTTTGCCGGCAACCTTGGCACTGTTCAAAACGACCATTTTCTTCCATTTGGTGGTGTCTTCGCCTAAAATCACAACAAAAACAAAATTAAAAATTTGAAAATTTAAAAACAAAAAAAAATCTGGGATACCCACCTTCACCAGCCTTACGAATATTGAATTGTGGCTTGGCACGTTGCTGTTGCTGGGCCTTCCATTCGTCCAATGTCAATTCCTTAACCTCCTCCTCGACGGGTGTCTGCTCAGCCGCTTGTTCATTGCCCGATTCATTGTCCTTTTCAGCACCGCTAATGTTGCCATTCTCTTCGGAGTTGGTACTCTTGTTGACATCATCGATGGTATCCTTAACGGAACCCCAGTTGTGTGCGCCAGCGCCATCACGTTTATCAACAGCTTTAACACCTGAAATATTGTAGATTTAAACCGTTCGCAATAGATTAGATTAATGTTATTGGGGGTGGCGGCGGTAGAGAAAGAGGATAACAAAAAATGGGGTTTTTTTGAAAATATAATTTTATAAAATAATAAAAATATATATATTTAAAAAAAATTAAATAAAAAACCTTAAATATAAATAAAATAATTATTATTTTTTTTTTTTAATTACAAAAATAATTTCAAATAAAAAAATTTTTTCAAATTAAAAAAAAATGTCAAAAAAATAATAATTCATAAAAAAACTGGGAATGGGGGTAGGACGGACAACAGGAGGGGTTTAGGGAAAATTCCACCCACAATAAACAAAATATTTTATATATAGTTCTGTGTATTCATGTTGGTGTCTGATTTTGGGGTATTGATGATTTGGAGACTTTGAGGTGATTGAGAGAGTAGGGGAGATGACACAAGAATTTGTGTATAGAAATGAAAATTTTTGAAAAATCGTGATATGAAATTGACAAACTGAGAACCTCTACGGACCATTTCGGGAACATATTATTTTAAGATTTGGCCATTTTTTATATGTCAAAACTAAGCCTTTTTTCGAAAAAAAATCAAAAAAAGTTTCGATTTTCAAATTCTTAAATATGTACATTTCAAAATTTCCTTTTGCAAAAATATTTTAAAAAATATTCGGAAAATTTAGTAAATATTGATGTTCGCAGTTTTTTTTTTTTCAAACGCAGATTTTCAATTTAGCTGCAAAACATATTATTTTCAAAATCAACTATTGAACCTAATGTGAAAATTTCCTAGAAATGGATTTTAAATCGTTATGTATAAAAAAATATATTTTGGAATATAAAAAATATTTATTTTGGAATTCCATTCTTATAAAATAACAAATTTGTACTTCGTATTGAAACAAAAACCTCCATCATACCCTCCCTCCCTCCCTTCCAATAAAATAAAAATCTATATTGATAAACTATTATCTATCTGTCAAGTGCGCCAGTGTTGTTGTTATTATTTTTTGTGTAATAATAAAACACTACACAATAAAAATATATAACAAAATTTATTATAGCAATCAGAATGAAAACTCGCCGCCCCGCTAGCACAGCAGCATTGACGCGGCAACTAAAACACAAAATTTTGTAAAATCCCCAACACACATTAAAGCACATGGTATTGGGGTGGGGTATGCGAACATGTCTACTATGCCCATGCCATGATTCAATATTTGAAAAATATACGAATACAAACATGGGGGAATAGGGGGACGGTCATATATTGTGGGGTATACAAATTTGTTTTATTTATTTGTTTATATATAAAATTTAATACATTCCTTTGAACGACGAACGAACAGCCACACAACAACACATCAAAAAGTTTGTGTTTTTGTTTCTGTTTTGGTTTTCTATTTTGAAAACTGTGTGTATAAACACAACACACACACAAAACGTAATATTATTTACATAAATAAATAAAATAACAAAAACAAAATTAATCAGACTTTAGACAATGTAGTCACAACAATTGAGGATAGAAATCAATTCAAAATGCCAATAAAAGGGGGGCTGGATCTTTATATTGGGGGCTATAGCAAAACATAGACAGATATTAAGAATTTTTGGCGGGAAGATCTACCACCAAATTAAATCCTCCAATCATTCCAAATTCCAATTATCGGCCCATGTTTTGGTAATGCCCAAATATAAAGGTCCTGCACCTTTTTTAGGTATTTTGATATGATTACCCTATTTAATTGTTAGCCAACTCGATTGAAAACGTGTAGGGGAAAACTCAAAATACCTAATAATGGGTGGTACAGTTATATTGAGGCTATACTAAAAGCTTCATTGATATTCACAATTTTTGGTAGGTAATTTTTCTACCCCTTTTTAAAACCCAAATATTAAATTAGAGCCAATTCGGTTTTAAGAAAATTGGCAGGTTTCTGTTACATGGAAGCTATACCAAAACGAAGAGCGGTGTATTCCATCATTTCCAATACCAAACCATTCTAGGGGCAAAAATTCAAAGCTCTGTATTAGATATTTCAAGCTCTATATCATCAGCTCAGTTTGGCTTAGTCAACGAAAATTGGAATACCAGGTGAATATATCCAATGACGGATCCCTATTAGAAGTAGGTGCATCTAACACCGCTCTACTGATTTTTGTTATAAAAAGAAACATTCGTTGTTGACTTCATGAGTGGAAAATGTTGTATTAGTCAGATTTCCGGTTATTGTTGTATTTGAGGTCCCAGGAAATCCAATCAGAAGAAATACAATAATGACATCTAACACTGCTCTACTGATTTTTTATAGAATGTAATATTTGTTGTTGAATTCACGAGTTTTGGAAAATGTGTAGTCGGAAATGTATTAGTCAGATTTCCGGTTATTGTTGTATTTGAGGTTTCAGGAAATCCAATTTTTTATTAGATTGATTACTCATTGTATAGCAAATTTCTGTAAAAATAAAAAAAAATTAATTCTTCAATTATGGGTAAAACCAAAATCATTTGTAACTTGCATTTCCTTTAAATGTCATTCCATAACATTAGCAAGGTATTTTTTATATAAGGACCCTATAGTTAAATCTTTGAGTATTTCCTAAATGCTGTCCAATAAAATTATAAACGAATTTTATCGCAATTAATTAGTTCATCAACATAACACATGAGGGGAGCCGTTTGACAGACACTTCAATCATTTGATTATTTTATTTTATTCCACAAAAAAAAAAATAATAATAATAAAAAACATTAATTTGTTGCTAATATCCTCTAAGCTATATATGAGTTATTCCGTGGATCTGCAATTTAAAAAATATATTGTATTATGACTATTTTGTCTGATCTTTGAATAAAATGCACTTATCTTTTGCACAAAATATTTATTTGGCGCCTTTTTTCCCACGGTACGTTTAATGAGTTGACAGAAAGGAGATGATGAGAAGAGAATCACTCTCCATATATGACACTCTCTCTCTAATAACATATGAGGGAAGCCATTTGCCAAACACTTTCCTTCATTTGATAATAGGTTCGTTCGTTTACTCAATAATTTGTACGAATTTGTACAAATTATTACAAAATGTTGTTCGTTTACCCAAAAGTCCAGTAAAAGAGAGTGAATTAAGAGAGCAGATTTGACAGTTGTGTTACTGAGTATTTGCAAAATCTTACAAGGAAAATTTACTCAGTAAGAATTTTCTTGTACCATCAGCTGATATTTAATCAGCTGTTTTGTTATGTTTTGTAAACAAACAAAAAATTGTTCTCAAGAAAATTGATTGTTTTGTGAATTTTATTTTGATTTTGTATCATTAAATACCAAAATGGATGAAGAAAACGCAAGTATTTAAAAATAAGGTAATACAAGAGTAATTGGCGAACGATTTTTTAGGTTCCAAATCCAACAAAAAATTGTGCATCCCTAACATGTCTGGAACACCATCGGTTATGTCCACCCCCATATCAATTGCAGATACAGGAATAACAGGTCACAACCCTTTTAAATGTTTGTGGGTAACAAACAACATCAATTTTCCGCTTGTTATCCATTTTTCTAATAAAAATTCTGTTTTTTAGTTTGCGCCAAATTGTTTGTTGTTTTAATCAGCTGTGTCGAAACAATCTTTTTACTGGATGTTGTTCGTTTACTTTTTGCAGTTTTCTCTCTTGAAAAGGAAAAATTCATATTTACTCTCTGCAAATTCTTACTGAGTAAATATTACTGGGAAAGTAAACGAACGAACCTAATATTATTTTGTTGCACAAAATAAAAAATAAAAAAAATTGACAAAGTGCTGATGACACTTATGGCTCTTTTAATTTTATATGTGTGAGGGGGACATTTAACAGACACATTCTTCAATTGAACATCCATTCTGGAATCTATTGCGTCACAACTTTACGTTATTTTTAAATTATTATTTTTTTCACATGAAATTTGAAAGAATTTTCCTAAACTTTTTCTATTAATTCTACTATAATTACATTGGCCATTGAGGTAATACACAAGCAAGATAAATGAGATGAGACTACTCTTCACATCATATGACACTTTCTCTCTCTCCCTCTTTATATCAAATGACATGTAACGGCGCGGGCCTTTGGCAAACAACTCACTTCACTTGATAATTTTATTGGGACAAACAAACGATTTTAGTGACTTGAGTTGTTAATATCCTTTAAGGATCACAATATCTAATGTGCGAGAGTCATTTATTATAAATATATTTATAATAGGGTAAGTGCACCAATAGTCGGCACTTTAAGAATTTTCGCTTTTTAAACGTTTCACCATTCCAAGTGCATCTTTTCCACGGCATTGTATTTAGGTTCATCTGTTTCGAAATTTTGTTTACTCCCCGATGGAATACAAATTTGTTTAATTAACTTGTATTAAAGTAGATTAAATTAATAATTATGTAAAATAGTGCCTATGTGCCAATAGTCGGCACATTTTTCTAATTGTCGGCATGTTATGTTCCAATAGTCGGCATGTCACATTTTAGTTAAACAAAACTTATATATTTAATTGATTTTTCTGCTATTTTCAAAAATAAATTATTACTTTGGGACGTTTCCATCAGTGTTGTATTGAAAAAGTTATATAAAATAATATTATTTATTAAAATATTACAATTTTAAAACATGGTGCCGACATTGGGAACCTGTTATCCAATTCTCGGCATGGCTAAATAAGGCATTTCAGAGGTTAAAAGTATTTGAGATTAAAATCGTGTCTTCTATTATAGAAAACACTCAAAACTAGTTTTTTATAAGATAATCGTTATTTAGAGGACTTATTTAACATTTTTTCCCATTTTGAGCCAAAATGATTGAAAAGGTGCTTAATATTCACCCATATGCCGACTAAAGGAAAACCTTAAAATTTTTTGTTCCTAAGGTCGGCATCGATAAAAATATTATTATTAAAAATATTTTTTAATGATTTTAAATTCTAAAGTATTCTCCTCTATGTTCTTTACAATTATGAA